ACAAGTGAAAATGTCGAGAAAATAGTTTATGTCGAGTAGAATTCCAATCCATTATCTGTTTATCCATTTATCTATCGGATATCCGGATCTGAATATATTCAGAAATCTGGTTTACTATTGATATCCGGATAGTTATCCGAATATTTGTCGGATTATCTGGATATCAATAGTAAATGGTGTCATAAGGGAAAACGGCGAGTTAGTCGCTCGTTCTTTCAAGCTTCCGTGTAACGTTTCTCGACTGATTAGCAAGCCGGAAACAATTTGGCAAGGTAAGGCAGTCGAGGACATTACACGGTTAAACAGGTATGGCAACAGGGAAGGTTATTTTATGGCAAATTAAATATTCTTAAATCTTTATTTAATTAATTTTTTATTTAATTAATTTTTTATTTATTTATTACAGGAGTAGGGGAACGAGGGGATCTATTTTCACCTAAAGGCGAAAGGGTGGACTTTTTATGCCGATTTCCAGGGAAGTATACTGTGGTCTCATTCCCTTTTCTTCAATTTTCACAGTCTCCTTCAAACACTCCCTTGACTCATGCTTCCTTCTTTCAATGAACTTCTCTTTTTGTAGGTTCCACTCATAATATTACAACCGCACAACCAAAAGAATGTCCTCACGATGCCAAGGCTCAACCGTAAACTCGTGAAGGTGAGTTATTTCACGTGCTCCTTGTTGCGCATCGTAGTGATTTTACCTTTACTTTCTTCCTTTCTTAGGTTAGTCACTACTTCTTTTGTGGGACCCAGGCTTAGCATTGTGGGCTGACTCATTCCGAGTTCTGGGGCTTCTCTTGCATACATGGAGAAAATCGGGTTACACGATCGCCAGTTTACAATCTGGGTCACGATCCAAATTACGATTCCGGTCACGTTTTCGGTCACGATTCGGAGATCGTTGCGCAACGGGTTTGCCTCTAACAATGGATGTCCAGATAAATTCCGATATGGATAAATGGATGACGGATTTATCTGAATTGGAACTCTAATGTCGAGAAAATAGTTTATGCCAGGAAAATGGGTTATGTCGAAAAAATAGCTTATGTAAGGAAAATGGTTTATGCCAGGAAAATAGTTTATGTCGGGAAAATAGTTTATGCCAGGAAAATAGTTTATGTCGGGTAGAGATGAGCAAATTATTATCGGCAAAAACGGTTGAATAATGGTAATTTAGTTCAACTAGGTAAATGAACACATGCCGCTTCGTGGTGTCATCCGATCATTTGCCTGGTCGAGCCAAATTACCGTTATTCATGATTGGTACGTAGGGAGTTGACGCTGAGTTTTAATTCGAATAAACTTGATTATTTCGTAACACATGAAAAAAAATAACAGACAGAAATAAATCAGTAACATATTATCGTTTTTCAAATTACTGTGATCAGATTATATATAAAATGTCTATTGACGAATGTTTTGATTAAAAATAAACTTTTGCCGTTTGGTAAGGGTGAGCATTAAGATGATAGTAGATAGGATACTGTATATAGCAAAATATTGAAAGGAATTTTTTTTTTACTAAGATGCAGAAAATGGTTTGATAATCAATATTTTGAGTTATAGACGATTTTTTAAAAAAGGCCGGCGGTATGGTTTGTTTTCACGTTACGCCTGATCCTGTGTCATACGTATTAAATATATATAATTGTAATGATAAACAAATGTAAGCATCAATAAATAAGTTAATAAATATAGAATTTCGCACCAATCTACCCTTTAATAATTCAGTGCATAGTAATTAGATAATCTACCAGTATTATATTGCTTCGCCGGCATTATAAGTATATGAGTGACGAAAAGGGAAAACCTGTAAATCATTTCACTCATTTAGTGAGACGATTTACAGGTTTTTCCTTTTCGTCACTCATATATAAAAATCATGCACATTGCCCATCAATAGTCATGATTAGTTTAAAAATCATGTGTCAGCGGACATTTTATGTATAATTGTGATTAGCATATAAATAAATGCAAATACATGATTGGCTAAAAATTATTTCCAGATTTGCATTTATTTTAGATTACCGTTACTGATTTCCATTATGATAATCACAGTAATTTGAAAAATGCAATAATATGGACTAGGAGCTGGAAAAAGGGAACAAATTAATAATTTTTTCAAAATGATTATCTTAAGCTTAACTAATTTAAATTTAGCTCATGAACATTTGAAAATCCGTATTTTTCTATAAAATTAATATAGATTTTATAATATAAAAATCAAAATTTTCACAAAATCTATTTTTAGTCAATGGTCCCTTTTCCAGAACCTAGCCCATATTATCTAAGATTTTTTGCAATAGGTAATGTTTACGATATTCTATTTTTATCAGCAATTTTTCGTTCAATCTCAGTTTTGATCACTCAATTTCCACTGTCATCATGTGTTCATATGTATACGCAATAAGTAATAGAATGTAATAATTGTCGCGGATCATAATGAAATCGGATCAAAATGAAATGAGGGATTTCTATTTGACCCACTTATGCTTGTTTATTATAAACCCAATCCCTAAACACTAATCCTAACCCTAAAAAATGCACCTCAAAAATTTGTATTTTTCGGTGGCTTGTCTATTTGGCATTATCACAACAGGAGGAACCGTCGATGTTACACGACTGATCTTTCACCCGGTGTGCAACATATTTTACAATACCAGATCAATCCGCTAGTACATATTATGATTATAATCCAACACTATTTTATTATAATAAAAATGGTGTTGAATTATAATCATAGCATGTACTAGCGGAATGATCTGGTATTGTAAAATAATTTATTTATATGTTGCACACCGGGTGAAAGATCAGTCGGATAACATCGACAGTTCCTCCTGTTCATTATCACTCATTTCATTTTAATCTGATTTCATTTTAATCCGTCACAATAATTACTTAATTTAAATAAAGTGATAAGTCATAGGTCAGTATTACATACAAAATTACTTTACCCATTCAATAGTTTATGTCGGGAAAATAGTTTATGTCAGGACAATATTTGTCGTAAACA